CGGTTGGTATTTTATTTGGACCAAAAAGTAGGGCGTTGTTTTAACGGCTAAGGAAAAGAGAATTATCAATAGGTACCAGTAGGTACCTACACCTACGCAAGTCATTTTGTGAAAGTAATTGGGATAGATTCAGATTCATATGAGTTGGAGGCTGCGACTTTGAGTGCAGCATTAGTCTTATAGTTTATTTAAAACTGACTTTAAAAAAGAAGGAGTATGTCAGTGTGATTCGTATTTATGTATGTTTGTTGTCCGCAAATATCTCACGATTGGCTGTACTTACCTATTTTAATATGCGTGGTATTTAATACTTTAACTGTAAATTCCCTTTTTTTCAATCAAAATATTCGAAATTACCACCAGAAATACTGAATTGCACACAAAATTTGCTCATCAAATAAATCAATTATTCTATCTAATAATTCGTAACCTAACCTATTTTGGAAATTCCGTTGTAATATTGAACAATTTGTGTGCAAATCAGTATTTTTGTTTTACGATGTAACATGTTTTTGTAATGTGGTTAATTTGTAGCACAGTCATTTTTTGATATGCTGTAGAGGTAGGTTAGCGGAAGGTAGGTGTTTGATTCACTTAAGAGCAGGTTTTGGATTAAAACTGCCCTAGTACGGTAGAATGAGTTGTATCTTAGGTGTAGGTATTTGTCCATAGTAGATAAAAGCGTTTCTATTCTGTTCCTATCTATGGTGGCACTTAGGAATATAATACTCAGTAAGTAGAAGGTTTAGAATAACATGTTCCCCAAACTTTCTTCTTAAAGTTTCTAGGACAACATTCATATAAAATAGTGAGCCCTTACACGGTGTGGGGGAGGCATGGTACCTTCCTGGACCTATACAAGCACAAGCATATTAACAGTTAAACGTCGGCTGTGAATGTGTGCTCTGTCGCTGTCGGTACATAAAGCTGATGAAGAGTTTATTTAAACACGCTAATATCAGGAACTTTTTATGTCGGATAGACCGTTTATCGAGGAAAGCTATAAAATACTACGCTTCGGTTAATAGGAGCAGTGAAACTGCGCGGGCGTAACTAGTATTATGTGTTTTTTTAGCAATTGATGTGTGTTTTGAATTACAGACTTACTCTTTTAGTAGTCTCAGAGTTAGTAGGTACCTATTTAAAATGGTGGATATGTGAATGGCATCTGAAGGAGATAAGTTAAACGTGGGAATATTACGGGTGCAGCAATGAGTAGGTAGTTGCAGACATCGCAGATGCTCCGTCATTAGTACAGGTAACGTTGTAGACAATAGTTTGAAACAAAACAAGAATTGTTTTAACCCTTACTTAATGCATACAATACTCAAGTATTGTGTGCCTGTACATGGAAGTAAGAGAGCATCCAAACGCAGGATTAGCAACCGCCCGAGCTTCTTTGTTCACTTCAACATTAACTGCCATCTTTCGATATTCAGTATAGGATTTGTAAAACCATTGACTAAAACAATAACGTATATACTTTACCTTACCTTTTAAAAGTAGGTACATTCTGTACATTGAAAATATTAAAAAAATAAATGGTAGGCGGTGTTACTACCCGAGCGTACGGCGCGTCGCTTTCCGCGTGCGCCTCAAAGAGCCGTCAGACCACCACAGATGGGGCCCAATAGGGCCGATGCCGATACAGAGCTGCGGAGAACCTAACGGGTTGCCGGGGCTTCGGCTCGAAGTGCAGGAGTAGGAACGGGGTGGTTTTTAGTCAGTTATAGTCTGACACTTCCTCCCGCCTCACCCAGGGAAGAAGTCATTTGATGATATTCCCCCTAAAAAAAAGGCGGTGTGACTAGATAGACACCGACTCTAAAAATGTGATTAAAAAGAAGGTTGTCTGTCTGTATGTATGTCTGTATGTTCACACATCACACAAAAGCTACCGGTACAATTACGATGAAACCTGGTATGATTATACTCGCCTACAGGGTCATTTGTTTCAAATTATCATTTACACCCTCAAAGTCGTTATGTATTTTAACTTATTAATTTAGGTTATTAATTAACATATGGTAAATAATCATGCTGTTTTTATTTATTTGAAGTCTTTCTACTTTCGTGCGTTGATATAGGTACTTGTACCAAGGTGATAAATATTTCAATATTTAAGATAAATTGACCATGGGAGAGAAATTAAAGACAATAAAATATGTTTTTATAATAACTATCATGAGACATTACTAAATTAACTAAAATCATGGATTACTCACGTGAATAGACTCAGTGAGCTGCGCAACGTCGCCGCGACTCCGCACGCTGCTCATGAGGAAGAACCCCTCTGTGGTTCAAAACTACCTACTACTACTTCTTAGTATATTCACGTGAGTAACCCGTGATTTTGGTTAACATAAAATATACCTAAGGACATCGGTTGGCCACGTTTGGACCCAAAAAATGGGCGTTGTTTTAACGTTACTACGGCGAAATTAACTGAAAGTAAAAATAATTATTCGATTCGAACTCTTAAAAATTTGCTGGAAAACTACTAAAATCAAGTTAGTCATACAATCTTAATGATTATATTTTAATATTTTATTATCGCCGAAATACTTTATTTTTGATTAAGGACAGTACCCCATTGTATTACTAGAGAATGAATATGAGACAATGTTAGGGAATGAAAATATGAATAAGCACCTACCTATTCTACATTACATCAATGACTAATTTACCAATAAGAGAGACCTAATACTTGACTACTACTAAATATTTTAGGCGATTAACGCATTCAAACAAACAAATTCTTCAACTTTATACAGCGTGTGTCATTCTTTTATAGAAATAATACGTTTAGTACCCAAAAGTATATGATGTTGAAACTGGTTGAGTAGTTTTAGATTCAGAGCTTATTCAATGCAGTCAATGTTTTCCTTGCTTTATAATATTAGTTTTTTAGAATTCATATAAAAACTCAAACATGATTCTTAAAATTCCACTTCTATTCCTTCTTTATTATTAAAACGTGGCCATACCCTAGGATTTTCGCCTATGTTGTGGATGCGTTTACAAACATACAAGTTCACATTCACATACACATAACCGACCCCACCTAACAAATTGTGGATCACGCAAAGAGTTGCTCCGTGCGGAAATGGACCCCCTACAACACGATGCGTATCTACTAGCCGGTTGCCCAGCCACCACGGTGGGTGCAATCGTGCAATTAGAAACTCAATTCAATCTGATCATTGTAAAGATCAATTGGGGAGTTTCCTGATTTTTTTTAAATGTTCTAAAAATTTTAGTTTAAATCTGTTAATATTAGACACGTATTTTTTTCTTTTCTTCCAAAATTACATACTTTTGACGATACATATTATATTGATTTGAACTGTCGTGTGACGTGACGAGTTGCGACCTTTAATTTTACTGGAACGTGTGTGTACAGCGAGTGTAGCGACCTCCTACTGCTAAATCTAAATATGTTTTATCTAATTATTATTTACTTGTATGACAAAATAAAAAAATACGTGTCTAATATATTTCTATTAGATATCTAACTGACGGACTATTTTAATTTTAAATTTTTATACTCCGTCGACTACCCAAATGTGTTACTTACATATTTTTAAAGCAACGATTGCAGCTAAAGGCTTAGTGCCATTTAATAACGCCACTTGACAAAAAGGGAGTGTTTTTGATGAATAAAAAAAAACCACTAAGAGTTTATATTTTATTAAGTGCACTAACTTATAATGTTTTATTCAATCTTAATATACAAGTCATCAATGAAATCAATATATAAGACAAGTGTATAACTACTCAATTCTTAACTAAAAGAAAAATGGTCAGATAACTTAAATTTAGTTAAATATAACAAAGTTTATATAAAATAACAATCATAACGATGAACATGACAAAATTATAATTATACACGATAAATACACATTTTATTAAAACACAATGCTTAAAAATTGGGGAAGGCTAATATCCTCGCATTGCCTAGTCCTAGGAATAAAATAACAGGAACAAATTTGGCATCAATAAAGTCGAGTAAATAAAATCCAGTCTGCCTTGCGACCGTTGACTGAAGAGGCACCGTTGACAGAATAGAAATATTTTTAAATTTTAGGTACTTAATCGTATTTATATTCGCATATTCAGTAGACTTAATAATGAAATTACTTAAGAATGACAATGAATGTTATAACAAGACAATCACATTTGACAATAATCAATTCAATTAGATAATAATGAATTACCCTAAACAGGTATATATAATACAGTGAAACTTGGTTAAGTGGGACCTGGATAAGTGAGAAACCTCCATAACTGGAACTCATGCTGAGGTCCCAACACTTGGCACTGAACTACCTCTGTTAGTGGGACGAGGTAAACCTCTATATCTGGGATTTGTTCTTTCGATTTATCATCATAGTTACCTCTATAACTGAGACAGCGAGTAAATTTTATATGCATAAACCTCTGTAACTGAGATAACATTGTTTGTTTACTCATTCTTATTCTACCCACAAATTCCACACGCAATTCCAAGTCCACCTATATTAATGGAACCCTCTGTAAATGAGACAGATATTTATTTATACCTGTATATCTGAGACACTGGGTAAGTGGAATACCTCTATAAGTGAAACGACATTGTAGGTCCCTTGATGTATCACTTAACCAGGTTTCACTGTACTTTATAAGAATAACAATGTGTTATGGATCGAGCCCTTAACACTTTCCCCGCATGGTGCACGTTACAGATCAACGGAATCTATTGCATTGCTCACTGAATCACCCGGAAACACTCAAATTCATCAAAGCGTTTCACTAAGCCAAATATTTTGTTTATAATTAGTTTTTAATTTTCTTACCAAATCGGTTTTTAAGTTAGAAAATGTTATTACATCATTCAGACGACTGGTGTGACTTTATACTTTTTGTATCTTTTTATGGATAATGTGTAACGCATAATAGGTTAACGTATCGGAAATCCGATCCTTACACGTTGTAGTCCTATAGCTGGTCAACTAATACCTCTAGGCATTTTTGTCATCATTAGCTGGCGGCGGGATGTTTTCGAGGTCATCTTCAGATTTACCATGACGCATTTTGAGCATCTTAGCCTCATCGGCGCACTTAGTAGTAATGGTGGCCCTGCAAATAAGATTAAGGGTTAATTTGTCTATTAAATTATTCAACTATAGTTAAAGCAATTATTGTATTTTTCGTCTTATTCACGTAATTATTTATAAATCGATAGTCCATTTATCATGAAAGGCTATAGCCTATTTACTATCATGCTACAAACAACAAGAGCCAAGAAAAGCGGATAAAACCACGACGATTAGCTATACGACGAGACGCAGCGTTGTCGCTCTGCTACTTACTACGAGTTCCTCGTCAAATAATTACAAGAGTAAGCCAAAAAACATAATAAATAATTAGTTTGTCTCACGAAAGTTATAATATAAACAAATTTAAATATTTCTAATACTATTGGAGAAAGAACACTAGATCCAGCCATCAACTTACCGAACTAAACTTTCTGTTACGCCAAATTTATCCATAATCTCGTAAATCACATCAGAGACTGCTTGTGGATCCAGGGACATTTTGGCTGGCTTGTGAAGGAAGGCTGGCGACTTTTTTCCAGTCAAAGAGTGTGTAGCCAAGATTCTGTGGAATTAAATAGTAGTGTTTCTTTGTTTAAGATTTATACAATTGCATATAAGGAGGACTTAATGCTAACAGCATTCTCTGTCAGTCATCCTTTGGGTAATGCAGAAATGTTTATTTGGTAGCTGTGGTAAGATGCAAAAAGGTTATGCGAGGTAGTGCTAACTATCCAAATTATTACAAGATCATCAAAAGCATAAACGAAATATGTACATGATAATAAATATAACTCTTTAGTATTCTGTACAAGGTATCAGACGCCTTCAATATAATTTAAATAAAAAAAGAAATTCAAATTGTAACAACTATATGCATAAAATTTACGTTCTGATTCCAATTTTCCTCAACACAGTTATGATATATGTAGTTTGCATTACTTACCGTCTTGGGAACACTGCAAGAAGCAAAGACCTTGTGGCAATTGTGTAAGACTTCCAGTTGACATTTTTTAACTTGTCCTTAGGGACCAATGTTTTTCCGGAGCCAATGCCGATCTGAAAACAATATTATTATCATTCTAATGTAAACCTTTAACTAAAAATATTCGCCAATATATATTTATATTACCACTAGCTTTTACCCGCGGCTTCGCTCGCGTCACAAAAGGATAAAAAGTAGCCTATGTGACATATATACAAATATATCTACCTACAGCGCCATCTATACCAATACTTTTGTTTTCCCTCGGGAATATCAAATTTTTCCGGGATATAAAGTACCCTATTATTTAATCCAGACTTCTAACTTTACGTCTGCAAAAATTCAAAGCAATCGGTTTAGTACTTACGGCGTGAAATCAGAACAAACAAACAAACAAACAAATTCACTTTCCGATTTATAATATGAGTAAGGATAAGTAATAATTTATAAGGATTGGCCACTGAAGGTAGGGTAGGGAGGCCTTTGCCCTGCAGTGGGACGACTATGGCTAAAAATAAGTAAATAAATAATAATAAAAAGTACATGTTTTTTTCGACCTATGTTCTTATTGTTACATTGCCATTACCCCCAATTCAATGAGACTCTTAGTTTCGCCTTATAAAGTTTTCTAATAAGTTATTTTGTTCGTTTTTGATAACAGTAACGTGTTCCATTTGGTATTTGACATTTAAGGTAGAATCTATTTGGAACACCAATACAGTCACAGTTTACTGTGTATTCACAAAAGCATTGATTAGTTAGCGATTTAGAATTATGATGTGGGCGCAATTATTTCACTTTAACCTGAAGTAAAATGTCATTAATATAATATATGCATGCAAACTGTACTTTTCAATTAAAAACCTTTTAATGGAAAGATAAATAATAGGTACTAAAGTATTATTATTTAACTTCCCATTTTCAGGAATACGGTATATATTCATTTATCAAAGGAACTATAACCAAATATAACATTACCCATTCTTTATCTGGTTTGTCTGTTGGTTCTATGGTGGAATTGATATTTTCATTTTCCTCATTGGCTTTAAATTCGGTAATTGCTAGAGTTTTTTAATTTCGTCACTGATCCTCTTCATACTTTTCTGTATAGTTTTAAGAGTGACATTTTTATCCGTTTTCATTCTATGAATTGCTTTTTTGAAAACTTTTCTGATCTTGTTATTGATGAGGTCCTCGTAATCTGATCGATCAAACTCATGCTCATGATCTTCCTCCGATGACTTCGACGACTCAGATAACTTCAGCGACCTATGGCACTGTGGCGCCTCGGGTGACTCCTCCAGCCGCCGAGCCTTCGGCGACATACTCTTTCTGCGTTCTATTACCCAATTCATTAGACACTCAAAATTCGTCATCATATTTTCAATACTATAAAAATAATCGTCTTTTTTAATTGCTCGAATTATCTGATTATTTCTCTGAGCTCTCATGTTTTTTGCCAAAGCCGGTAAAGATCTGTCTGTACGTCCCTTGCTAATTCTGCCATCCTGGGATTTTACGTTCTTTCTGCGTAAAGTCTTTAATGATGACTCAGATATAATTTTGTGCTTTCTGATTTCTTGAATGTCCTGCAAAAGTTAAATAACAATTGTAACGTTTTTGTTTTTACGGATATTTTTGGAACAGTAATTGAATATGACATCACACATTTTTATTTTTTATACGTAACATTATTTTAGTTATTAGATAAAATTAGTATAATTATGGAATATCTATCTACGTAGATATACATACTACACAAATGTAATTGATATATACTACACCTAACAACGGTACGACCATACAAAGATACAGGAATACAGCTAGTTTGGACGACTTAATTTGTAAAGATTTGTACAGATATAACAAATTATACCTTGTAGGTACATCTGTTCTTGTGTATTTGGAAATAATATTTCTTCAATCAAACTTGTTCAAGCAAACATTTATATATTTTTTTATAATTAGTAAAGGTGAACGAACCTCATCGGTGTCTGCCAACGACGTAGTTTCATCATCACTTGGCTTCAAAGACGAAGCACTCGGGGAATAATCCCTATCGATCTCTTCCATCTTCCTGCTCCAGCTAGGACCTGCTACAGGTGACCTTGATCGTTTCTTCATCATACTTTCCAGCATCTCACGATCATCTGCAAGAAAGCGTTATTGTACTGGTTGCTTTTAATTTACCGACTCTAAATAAAGAAGGAGGTTCGTGGTATGTTTGGTTATGCGCTATTATTTCGCGACTGGCTGAACCGATTTTGTTTCGGTTTCCAGAAAAGTGTTTACCCATTATGAAATATTCTTAGAGACTATGCGACAAGAATAGGCAAGTCACTATGGTGAAAGTTATTCGATTTGACGGTGGAATCGCGAGGTAAAGTCTTTTTTTTTAATTATGTAATTACGGCCAGTCATGATTACCTAAAGACATCATTGGTTATAGATAAATCTAATTAATAAATTATGAAATTTATTTAAAAATGAGTGTACTTTGTTCTATAATTTTAAATGTTGCTGTGCCCGACAGGGTCCATAATTGTAACTATTGTATTTTCTCACCACCTGTATATGTATACATTACGGCTGCAATAAATACTTGATTACTTGATTACATTTGTTCTTAATTTTTTCATTAAATTGTAAATAAAATAATCATAGACTGTAGTGGCTAAAATTAAATCATCGACAGCTGGGCAACGTACCGCGACGCGCGCAGGTTTGATTCTAGCCTGGAACATTTTTTTGTGTGACACACAAATTGTTGTTGCGGGCCTGGATGCAATATATGTGATGCTCTCACATGTATTACATCCAGGCGGTGTTTTTATTACTGTAATTATCTACGTTATACAGTATAAAATCCTAGCAATGAATAAATATTTAAGTCGTCGAGTACCTACCGTATTTATAGACACAATTAAAGAACAATAGGTTGCGGTCACCGCTTGGTGTTTGACAGTTTAAAAAGAAAGAAGAGTGTCAGTTATCTATTGTTCAATGGGCAATAAAGTGATAATGAAATATTCTAATTAATCCATGGTATTCAAGGCAAACAAGCTCAGGGCTCGCTGCCATTGCAGCGGTAAGTCCCCTCTTTGAGGAGTGGCTTGACAAATGCTACGGCGTCCTCACCAACCGCCTGACGCAGGTCCTAACCGGACATGGAAGTTTCGGGAGGTGCCTGTGTCTGATAGGGGACCGCCCTGAGGACACGGTGGAACACACAGTGGGAGAGCCTGCGTGGGCTGAGCACCGCCGTGCCCTCAGGGAAGTTATCGGCGATGGCGACCTCTCGCGTCCGGGCCTAGTGCAGGCCATGATGCGGAGCGAGGGGGACTGGGATGCCGTCTCCTCCTTTTGCGAAGCAGTCATGCTAGCTATCGCGAAGGACACACCGGGCGTCGGGGATCGTGGGACGATCTCCGGCCACCGTAAGCGCGGGACTGCGGACGGCGAGCATGGGTGGCTCCCCGTCCGACCAGAAACAGACCCGAGCGCGTCGCGTTCCGCGCGCGCCTCAAAGAGTCATCAGACCACCATAGATGGGGCCCAATAGGGCTGTTGCCGATTCTGAGTCGCGAAGAACCTAACGGGTAACCGGGGCTCCGGCTCGACGTGCAGGAGAAGGAACGGGGTGGTTTTTAGTCAGTAAGAGTCTGACACTCCCTTCCGCCTCACCCAGGCGGGAGCAGTCATTCGATGATATTCCCCCTTAAAAAAAAAGGCTTGCACACATGCTGCGATGCGAGGCAATTTCCCGCGGTTCTGTACGTTGAATGCGATTTATTGCGGCAACGTGGCAAGGCGTTCCCCTTCCACGATTCGGACAAGCATTCCTTTCGACTAGCCAATCAGAAGCCTTGGAATTTTGACGATAGAAAATTGGCGAATCTTGCCGAACCAATAAGTATAACTGATTGGGTAAACTCAAGAGTAAGGTTTAGGTATCAAATTGATTGCTTCCCAATCTGATTACACCTAAATAAAATACCATTAGATATGGTATGTTCGTAAAGTGGTCTTAAAATACACATGAATAGACAGACGGAGAGACAATACAAAAACCGATTGTCAAGTAATTCTTTAAAACATTGTTCGTGAAACAAAGTCAAATAGATAGCATTATAAAATCCGGGTGTCGGTACCTTCGTGCAAACTTATTGTTATATATTCTGTTACCTACGCTTTGTCTATTGTCAATACTAGTTGGAACATACAACATGAACTCGACTTTAAGGATACACAAATAAGACCGAGTTTGACAATTATGCTCTCTATAGTCCTTTTCAGTTAAATACGGTCGCTTTAATTATGCTCTCAATAGACCTTTTCAGTTTAATGGGTACCTACGCTTTCGGACGGATGGATCCTACTTAAACGATTAGTACTTTCTTTTCCTGTTAATCATTTTGTCTATTTTTTTTAATTATTATTGCTTTATTTTACGGCACGTAACCCTGGTTTGTTTCCTTCAATAGGAACGCGATACAGTCGTAGTGGTGGTGCGCGTGGTTACGTTGAAAATAAGCATGAAATCAGGCACCCTGATTGCCCGCAACTTCCGAGATGGACATTGCGATTTCATGGTGTTTTATTTTATTTTACATATACCCAACAGCACACTTAAATTATAGCACGTTTATATATTGACATAATTATTCTTGGCAGTTTCTTTTTGTATATAAAGTATTCTGTCGTTTTTTTTTAAATTTGATGATTATTTATTTAGCAGTACACATTTATTTAACAGTACAATTATATTTTGGTAACATTTTTATTATCTGTCTCTTCTTCATCTGGTAATATAGTAGTTAGTATACTTCTTTTTTTATGTGTCAAATTACTTTGTCGCATTAGACAATAAATAAAACTCGAGATCAGCTCGACCAAATTTTATGGTTTTTGGTTCGTTGGATTTGTCTCCGCCCGGAATAGCAGAATACATCTTAAAAATAATGAAATTTCGACAAGATACAGATGAATCATTTTTCCTTAATGTTACTAGCTTCTGTCCATGGTTTCGCTCGCGCTCTTTTAAAGTACTGACGGAAGGTTTACACAAGAAAAAAACACGAAATTCTCCATACAAACTTCCATCCCCTGTTTTAGGGAAGTGGTGGGTTAGAAAGAAACAAAACGTAGCCTGTGCAACTTACAATCGCTTCAACTATCTCCACTCAATAAAAACACCACGTCGATTTCTAACAAAACATACAGACACGCACAAATTTATAATATGGAGTTCTATGTTATCTGACAAGTAAGTTTCATGCCAATAGATGATTGAACATTATTTTTTTTTATCGTCATGCATGATATAACATTAAGGTATGGAAAGAGGCTGAATATTAATATTATTAACCTATTTGATTGAAATACGGTTCAACGCACAGACGTAGATCTATGTCTGTGGTGTAACGATAGTTTGAGACACTTGCACTGGAAAGGATAGGAACTGCGTAATCTTCTGGGTCTCACTATTTTTTAAGCCATTGAACTTATTTCAGTGGAGTTTGGTACAACGACGCGACGATAGTTTGAGACTCGGAAAATGACGGCTGAGAATTTTTCACCGTTGTACTTATTTGATTGGAATTCAAATGGAATTTTAATCACTGAAACCTCACGTGAATGGATCCTATACGGGTAAAATACCTGTGGGATTATTTATTTTTTGAAATCATTAAAATGAATAACATTTCACAATAAATACAACTGAATCGATGCTGATGAGATTTGTTCTATACCATTGGAAATTGGCCATACCATTGCCACCTTGGAAAAGACTAATTAAAAAATTCAAAATTTGCCAAAAGTCATTAAGTATACGAAGTCGCGGGAAACAGATAGTTAGGTATACCATTGTTGTGAAATATGTTTATGTATCTCACATAATGTATTGGTAAAGTTAAGCATGATACTTTGCAATTAGACAATTAGGTACTTACGTGAAAGCGCAACCACAAGTGCCGTATTCTCCCTCCCAGCCCAATGCAGGTCTACATATCTTCCGACCTCCACCTTCTCCGTAGGGCACAAAATAGATTGCATGTGGACCAAATCACGCTTTTTAGTTGGCCATTGCACGAGGACCCACTTCATGATATTTTTCGAAGAATCTCCAGATGTTGAACTATTCATTTTCGAAGTCGCAGACCGCATATGTATATCCAGTCACTCCAAAGTGTAGCACACTACTGAACGGCAAGCCGTACGTAACTCAGGTAAAAGTTCCATTGCACCCTTACTGCACAGTTATTGCTACCCCCGCCCGCCGGACACAACAATAGATTTCGCCACCGGCTCCGGGTTCGGGTACCCACAAAAAAGCATCCTTTTTTGCAACATACCAACTTCCTTGTCAGTTATTTGTTAAAATAACGTGTCGAAGTATTTATATAAGGTTTTAATAATTGTTTGTAATTTGATTGTATGAGGTACCTATGTAGTATATTTTAATTATAATCTATCTGTTTCTCTGTCCATCGACTTGGTGAAACTTAATTACAGTACCTACACTTTATCATTAATTGGTACCTATTTAGTTCTATAGATACTAGTATAACGACGAGACTTCGTTCGTGTGGTTCTTATGTATCGTACATAATTATAAATAACTTAAGTACCAACTTAGGTACCTAAAAAACATAAATCTTCTTCAATTATCTTATTTCTAAATTCTAATAACGTTTTATATATGCGCACACGACTGTGATGAATCACGGAATTGGTACTTACCAATTGACACATAAGGAGTAATATTAATATATGAAAATATGTAAAAAAGTGTTTAAAAACAAACTTTTAATTAAATGTGCTAAATTAAATAACCAAATTATTTATAACGCATTATATATTTGTTTGTTTGTTTGAACGCGTTAATCTCAGGAACTACGGGTACGATTTTAAAACAGCTTTTTGACTTAGATAGTTAATTTATCAGGAAAGGCTATAAAACACCACGCTCCAATCAATAGGCGCTGAGCAGAGCGGGTAAAACCGTGCGGAAGTTGTTATTTAATAAGCAATTCAGGTTGTTTTGTTACCAACGTTTGATTTGCTTAAAATTTGTTTAAAAATAATTATTTCATTAATTATTGTTTCATTGATTACGATATAAAAATATTGTAATTGTGCCTGAAATAATTAAATCATCCACACTAGAAATTGTATTAAACAAATGCTCTTTACTGCATAGGTAAATACATACCATGAGTTTGGCATGAACCAATGTTTTGTAGCACAATATAAAGGTAAATTCCAAAACCCCTAATTTTTTGTTCAGTCACCACAACTGTTTATTATGCAGGTAACAATATAAAGATTGATTCAGTACAGAGACAGCAACCATTAGTTAGCTGCTGAACCGATAAATGGTTACAAAAGTTGGGCTTATTTAAAAACTACATAATCTACATCTAGGTACACTGATAGTATAAGGAGGAAATATACGATTTTTTGTTTGTTTGTTTGAATTGGATCTCCTCCGAAACTACCGGACCAATTTGAATACATAATTTACCGTTGGAATCCTACATCATCGATGATGATCATAGGCTGTCACTACATAGGTAGTATAAAACAAAGTCGCTATCCGCCGTCCGTCTTTCTCTACCTCTATGTATGCTCAGATCTTTAAAACTACACAACGGATTTTAATGCGATTTTTTTAATAGATAGAGTGATTCTTAAGGAAGGTTTATACGTAGAATACATGCATATTGAACCCGTGCGAAGCCACCGGAGGGTGGCTAGTATTTAATAAGAAAGAAAAAATAGAACCGTTTGAATATTGCGATAATGTAACCCGATGTGTGAAAAAACTGCCCCTATTATATATAATAGTATTTAGCTGCATCAGAATCAAGGATTTTAAGGAAAAAATACGAATTTAATTCACTGAATACATTTTATTCGTGGACTAATTTCGCTCGCGCTTTTTTAAAGTATTGAGGACAGGTTTAGAAAAGTTAAAAAAGAGTTGGTGCACGGTGTTTTGCTGGTCACAAAAATTTAATGTAAATTTTAGTTTTCTTGAAAGTTACAAAGTGCTCTATACAAACTTCCACCTCCTGTTTTAGGAAAGTGTTAGGTTAGAAGGAAACAAAATGTAGCCTACGCTATTTTCAATCCTTTCAACTCCACTCAACAATAAAATCACGTCAATTTCTAACAAAACAAACGGACACACACACAATTTTATAATTTCTATGTTATCTGACATATTTTTGACATGTGAGTTTCATGCCAATGGATCATTGACAATTATTTTTTTGCTATTACATAATTATGTTATAACATTAAGGTATGCATAATCTCCAGAAAAGGTATCCGATGACGGCTATATTAATGAGTAAAATACAGCTCTAGTCGCTCTATCCACAGATTGTTAGTTATGGTCGTTGCAGCGGCGCTGTTACCGGCGCCGTTCTGAGCAATCAGTACATTTCCTTCGATAAAACTACTTTGAGTTTTTCCCATGATGATGTTATATCTTGAAAAAGAAATCTTAAAAATTGTTTTCAGAAATACAATATCTGAATACAAATAATCGGGTTCGATTCCCGGGCCGGGCAAAGTATTACTGGGTTTTTCATAAAATTCACAGTAGTAGCACGGAGTCTGGAATTGTGCCCGGTATATGGCAATAGGCTCACCCCCTATTACATGGGACTCATAACATAAATAGTGAAAAAGTGGGTGTTACATTGTACAGTGGCATAATGTATGTACACCTATGCCTACCCCTTTGGGGATAAAAGGCGTGATGTTATGTTATGTTTTCAGAAATACAATAGTTTAGAACATAGCAATATACTACCAATAAATGTATGAACGCCCGCGTTACTTAAAGTATTTGACAGGATCATTAGGACAGGATGTAGGTACAACAAAATGTTTGACAGGTACGAAACAAAGTAACATTACCTAAGGGAGAATGATTCATCTTTTATTATTATGTTCTCGTCAAGTTTTCATTATGATGTATTCTGCTATTCCGGGGACAAATTCATCGAACCAAAAACCACGAATACACACATACATCGGTACAGCTGATCTCGAGTTATAAGTGTTGGAACAAATCCGTCTTTCTTTATATAGATTTTACCTTTGCTTGATTTTTTGTTTATTGTTAATATAGTGTCAAAGGTCAAAAGTCCACTGCCACCGTGAGTGATGTTTACACGGCAATGCCTAAGTAATTTCCTATTAATGTGCATAAAACCGCGAGCGTACGCATGAACACACGCACGCGTAAACACACGGATAAAAATATGCGTGTGCATGTGTGTATAAGCGCTGCAGCGCAACCGACAGTAGTCTTACGGTGGCAGTGGACCTTTGACCATACACTCAAAACACTTTCTAGCAATATCAGTGGCGCTTAGGACTTTCTATATTTTTAATCTTAGCGTTGTTATCAAAATATGAGGGTTGATTTGAAACAAAATCCACCCTCATATTTAACTACTTAGCTATTAGTCATACATATTTAACTACTGGTCACGTAAATTATTTCGGTATTCACTGTTGTTGATTGGTGAATAGCAATGAGTGTTTGTGTTATCCTGTTGTTGTGATTTTATTCTTTTGTAATAATTATGCAGTTAATACTAGTTTTGAAACCAAGGCAAATATTGTGGCCCTATGTTTAAAATAACATAACATCACGCCTTTATTCCGGAAGGGGTTGGTAGAGGTGCACATTACGGCACTTAATGCCACTATACAATGTAACGCCCACTTTTCACTATTTATATTATGAGTCCCATGTAATAGGGGGTGAGCCTATTGCCATATATTTATATAGATAAATTGTTTGTTGCAACTTGCAAGTGAGTAATATTTTTATTTTTAGAGAGAGACTACTTGGCGTTGGGTGAAGAGATTTGAGGAAGAAGGAAGTCTGAATAGTCGTGATAGGATATACCCTGCAGAAGACGTAAGCGAGATGAGTTTTGTGCAATACAACTGTCCCATTCACCGTGGCAGCGTTATTCGTGAACGATTTAGTATCATTTTGAAATAAAAGTTATTTCTTGGTCAGCTCGGCCCCTGACTTAAGCCCCATAGAAGTAAAAAATATTAAAAATCTTAAACAGGTAGTATCTCGCTGTGCCAGGGGACATAGCGGCTGTAACTTAAACAAATTAGTACCTATTTATATTAGTATTCATACTGAGGTTAAGTTCTAATCCTCTTTTCATTGAACAATGACTAATTAAGCAATAACCTCAGAACTTTCATTATGTCTAGAATTATGTAACCTAAAATTCGTTTTTATAATAAGAATATAAGTGTGAATGATTTCTTTTATGTAAATTTTCATTGTAGTTTTTATGTAATTTATTACAATATTGCCATAAGTTCAAAATTTGTTTCATTTTTTAACATTTAACAATAGATTACCTTTATAATATATTTATTGTAATGTCTATTTGTTCAAAGCAATTTAGTAAAAATAAATTACTCAAATTTACAAGTAGGTAATCGTTATCGTAGGTAATCACAAGAACAATTTAGTCGCCTGTCATGCTCACTTAGTGTGGATATTGACATGTCCTATTCTCTTTCTAAAGTGAAAACTGTCCTGCGTAGGACATTCTCACAGAGTTAAACTGCACTATATGCACTACATGTTCAGATCAAAATCAAAATTGTACAGTTTAAAAATTAAAAAGAAGTAAAAACTTAAATTTAACAATTGTGATTGAAATTGATGTCTTTTTTTTTTGATAAGCGAACTTTGTTTCTTTTTTGTTGTAATATCCTGTTCTTTTATAATGCATGTCGTGGCGGCCTGTAATTAAGGCTACACTATAGAGTGTTAAAATATTATGTAAAAAAAACCTATCATGTATTTTGGTGTATGCTTTGTTGGTTGTCCTTAAATAAATAAATAAATAAATAAATAAATAAATTATGTGTAAAATATAAAATAAATATGAATATGTATCTTTCTTACACTTTATATACTGATGCTTATATACTTACTATTTACCTACTCCTCTGTCAAGAAAGTACTGGGAAAAGATCAATAATACACAAAATGTCTGTTATTCATCCAAATTTATTTTATCACCTTCAAAGTATGCTCCTTTAGAAACGATACACTTGCGCCAACGAATAATCCATTCATTAAACCACTTTTTAAACGCTGC